TTTCTGTTTGGAAGTGAATCTCTAAGTACCTGGAGCCTAGCACCTGCAAACTAATGTTTAAACTCTATCTGCTCAGGTACGGGATGCAGCCCAGATCTTCTCTTCTTCCTGTGCGCCATGTACGCTCCCATCTGCACCATCGACTTCCAGCATGAGCCCATCAAGCCCTGCAAGGCGGTGTGTGAGCGAGCCAAGTCCGGCTGTGAGCCGGTGATGAAGAGGTACAACCACAGCTGGCCCGACAGCCTGGCCTGCAGCGAGCTGCCGCTGTACGACCGCGGCGTCTGCATCTCTCCTGAGGCCATCGTCAAGGCAGAAGGACCAGGTTGGTTGCTCAGTTCCTGAGGCCTGAGATCTATTTAATCTAGAATGAATTCATCTTCTGCAGAACATCTGCAAACCTTCTTAGGGTCAGACTAGGCTGTTATGACGGCCTAGTCAAAGCCTGAGGCTAAATTAAACCTGAAAGTTTCTACTCAGAAGCTTCATGCTCCCTGACTAATGTTGGAGAGCTGAGATCATCTGAGTTCTACAGGCAGAGAAGGAGCATCTATATGTTGAAGTCATTGCAGTTTGTGGATCCTGAGCAAAGCCCGTTCTAAAAGTTGACCTATTGGAGTAAATCCTGCTGCCTGCTAAAGCCAAATGTTTACGGATCTTTTTCGGATCCTTCTAAATCAGCAGCTTCAGCTCTTTCCTCCAAATATGGCCTGTTTTCCCAGAGCAGCGACTGTTTTGGTTCCTTCCCAAACAGATAGCGTGACTCATTTCCCCTCTGATTTCACTCCCACAAAGAGCTGCCTGATGCAGGCGGCCCACTCAATAAAACCCTCGCTGTCCTTGGCGTCTCCAAACCCAGGAGCAGGAAAAACAAAACCTCAGCCCGACCTCCACATCCGTACGCCCACCGTCCTCCGAGCCGCGTCGGCTCACTGGACGCAGCGGGACCCGGGGATTTCCCTGGCTGTGATTTGTTGATGTGCTGCGGTTCAGCCGGGGTGGATCACTGAAAGTGTTCCAGGGATTTTCTCTGCATCTCTGCTCTTCATGTTCTCCCAGAGCAGGCAGAGAACGTCCTGAATGATCAGCAGCTGGAGGAAGGGAAGCTCCATCAGAAGCTGCTTTAGGGTCCCCATACAGCAGCAGCACTAAACTCATTCTATGACTGTTTTTCTATCCCTCATGTGTGAAAGACTGAATCTTTTCTGTCTCTGCAGACCCGTACCTCCAGGACCCGTCCAGGTGTCAGAACCCAGGTGAGGTGTTTTCCTTCTCCAACCATCAGTGAGGTCCAGCAGGTGATGTAACCATCCTACCTGCCTGACCTGATGGGAGGGGCTCCTGGTGGACCCTGAACAGGCTGAGGATGAAGGTGTCCATCAGCTCCGCTTTAACTAATCCACCAAAAATGTTCTGCGCTCTAGAGTCCGGCTCTGACGTTCCGATGGATCCCAGCAGCTTCCACTGCCGAGGACCAAATGGAGGTAAGGCTGCTGCCCCCGACAAGGTGGAGGAGAAACTAAATGGATGTTATTAACTAAAGCTCCAAATGTTCCCGTTTAGCTGCATCATCAACGGGTGGATGATAAAATGTTTGACCGGCCGCGTTAATGGTTCCTCTGCACCTACAGCTGCTGGTCACTAGGGGGCAGTGTTTGAAATGACACGTCTGCTGAAGAAGCTTTTTATGCAGCGGTTTACCTCAGGTTTACCTCTACCTTTAGGTCACAGCTCAATAATCAAATATTAATCGCACTGATGTCATGTAGTGTGGTTGGTTCCTGGTGTTGCTAATTAGTATCATAACTAATCTTCATGTAATAATGAGGGAAATCATCTCTAATGATGTGAACATTTAGTTGTATGATTGTTTATAAATTCAGACATTAAGGGTGAATGAAAGAAGGAGAAATGTTGAGCAATAAAAAGCTTCTGTTTGTGTTTGTAGATCGCTGCAAGTGTAAAACGGTGAAAATGGGCCAGAAGACCTACGTGAATAACAACTACAACTACGGTGAGCCATGAGACGCTTTAACGGGATAAAGATCATAAACTGGAGTAATAAGCTAACGTTAGC